TTCCTGTTCAGTACGGCACGATGAAGATGGCCACTTCCAAGGTCAAGAAAATGAGTATCTGTGTATACCGGGAGCCAAGCCGATTTCAGGGTTGACAGCTGTGGTTGGCATGAGGGACCTGCATCTCATTCCTGGCTATCAAATATCCTCTCAGTGCCTCAGTTTCTTCATCTGCAAAATGGAAAAAATACGTCCCATCTTTGCAGAGTTATTGTGAAGATTAAGTGAAATGATGTAAATACAGGACCCAGCACGATACCTGGCACACAGTAGATATTTAGTAAATGCTAGCCCCTATTACTGGTAGAAGGAGGCTCATGGGGCTTGCAATGAGGTCAATGGTGATGAGCTACAGACGATCAAGTCCCAGAGAATGCATTTGGGTAGGCCCTGGTACTGAGTGCTATGAAGAGGCCAAATTTTATTGCTTTAAATTTTCAGTTCAAATCAGATTTGTCACAAAGCACATTCAAGACTCTCTGGGCAAACAGTATTCTAACAGCTGGAGCTCAGGAGCTCAGATGTGCTGGCGGGATCCAGCTGTGGTTCCTGCTTCATATTAAAGGCAGCTACAGGTAACCTGGCACCTGTACTCTCTCTAGATACATAAAGCAACGGCATATTGTTCTTTTTTTAAAAAAAATTATGTAGTCAGTATTTTATTGAGCAAAAATAACAGTATACATAGAGGCCGGACCTATAATTTAATCAGGCTACAGAAAATGCTTGGGCATGTGAGGATTTTTTTGGACTCTTCATGAGATGGTAGTTATGAGAACTGGGCCCAAAGGTTAGGAACTGCTGGAGTAGTGAGGGATTAAGAATACAGTTCAATCCCAGCCCTACCACCTGTGGACTGTCTGACCTTGGGTGCGTTACTTAACTTCTGTAAATCATAAGTTTCCTCAAATGTGAACTGGCAATAGTAACACCTGCCCCCCTAGGGTCGCTGTAAAGATTAGAGATAATGTAGGCGAAGCACTTGGCAGAGTCCCTGACACATGATCAGCACATGGCATATTGTTAAAACAGGTTCCAATGCAACGCTCATGCCTTATCAACTGAGGGGACTGCACACAGGATTATGGAACTCTGGTTTTTGCAGTGTCCCATGGGTGGTCTCTCAGTCAAGTTCCCAGGGGACTAATGTCAGGCCCACTGACCTTTATCTGCAGGCTTAGATTCACAAATGCCCTGAAAAGCAAAAGTAAACTCAAAACTCATTTGGAAGCCAAAGCCGACCTGACTGACATGGGTGTGATGTAGTCTTTGCTGTCCCTCTTAGGAAAATTCACATGTTCTTACAGAAACATGAAGGTGTTTGATTCTGGTGCTGTCCCAGACCCAGAGGGAGGTGTTACATAATATAGACATGTACCAAATGACTTTAATATTCTTCTAAAATTTGAAAAAAATTCTTAATTCCAAACACATTTGGCCCAGGGATTCTGGATAAGGGAACGTGAGCCTATAACTGTCTCTAAACCTGTGCTTCCCTAGCTGTAGGTGCGAAAGAATCATCTGGAAAGCTTGTAATAATGGAGACTCCAGGCTTTTTCTGGGAGTTTTTGACTCAGTAGGTGTGGGTGGGGTCTAAGATCCTGTATTTCTAACAAGTTCCCAGATGATGCTGATGCCATGGTCCAGGGACCACACTTTGAGTAGCAAGATTCTAGGAGGCCCACCTGGGCACCAGAAGCCTACCAGCTGCCTCAGCACAATGTCCTCGGTCAGCCTGACCCTTGCCACGCTCCTGACTGGTGGTGGGATGCCACAGTGAGGACCAGCATCTGAAGGCCCCAGTCTGCTATATAATAGGTTCTGCTGAGCAGTAGGTAATTCGCAAGTTTAGTCTGAGGTTATTGATGTTAAACACGGAAGGCTGTTCTAGACTTGACTCTGAATATTCAGATTAACGCTGTTTATCCAACTCACAAATGCTTTGGGAGGTTTCAAAGATGCTCTTCGGTTGGAACAACAAATAAAAACCCCAACCAGAAGTCAGACATGTTTGACGTATAGCATCTGCCTGCACCAAATGAAATTTTTTTTAAAACATCTGGCTATAAACATTTTAAAACTGGGTAAGTTCACACAGAAACCCAGATTTATGGATTCTCTTAGGAAAAAAAAATGTCTGAGACCAGAAGAATTAGATGGTGCCCACAAACAACTGCCCTAACACGGATCACAACAGGGACTCCTGGACGGAGCAGGAGAAAAATGTAGAACAGAATTCAAATTCATGTAAAAAGACCAGACTTATTGGTCTGACAGAGACTGGAGGAACCCCCGAGACTGTGGCTCCCGGACACCCTGCTAACTCAGAACTGAAGCCACTCCCGAAGCCCACTCTTCAGACAAAGATTAGACAGGCCTATAAAACAAAAAGTAACACACGGGAGGAACGTGCTTTCCAGTTCAATCAAATATACGTGACCAAATGGGCAGCTCCTGTCCAAAAGCAGGATGAGAAGGCCAGAAGGGACAGGAACTGGACAAATGGACACAGGGAACCCAGGGTGGAAAGGGGGAGTGTGCTGTCACATTGTGGGGATTGCAACTAATGTCACAAAACAACATGTGTATAAATTTTTGAACGAGAAATTAACTAGAGCTGTAAATTTTCGCCTAAAGCACAATCAAAACAAAACCAAGGTAACAAGTGGAAGACCTAGCAATCCTGGGACCACATTTCCAGCTTATTTTTTTTGCTGTGAAGAATATTTCTCAAGCTGTTTAATGTGCTAAGAAAGTGTGTCTGGGTGGAAAGAATTCAAAAGCATGCTCAGTTTACTCATTTGCACACCTGTCTGGACCTTCACACACGTGAGTGTGCAGGCCCTCACTTGGAGGCCTTGCCTGAGGAGATAAACGATTAAACAATTCTGAAGGGACTAGAAGTCCAGGTTCCCTGCCTTCCGACTGGGGATTTTATTGCTCCAGAAGAAGAGCACCAGGAGAAGGATGAGATCAGGAAAAAACACTGGATGGATGTCGGGACACATGGACTCCAGCGGCGTGCAAGTCTGTGCAAAGGCATACGACTCCAAATCTCGGTTTTCTTATCTATAAAATGGGGACACACCTCCCAATGATAAATTCCAATAATGCAAATCAACGCACTGTAAAAACTAGGGAGTGCCAGAAGGGAGTGCTGTTCATTTGTTTTGTTGTTCTTGTTGTTAGGTGATGTCGAGTTGGTTCCAACTCACAGCAGCCCAGTCCTTTGCTATCCTCACAATCCTTGCTACGTTTGAGCCCATTGTTGCAGCCACTGTGTCAATCCATCTCATTGACGGTCTTCTTCCTTTTGCTGACCCTCTACCTTACCAAGCAGGATGTCCTTTTCCAGGGACTGGTCCCTCCTGATAAAGTGTCCAAAGTACGTGAGGTGAAGTCTCAGCCATCCTCATTTCCAAGGAGCATTCTGGCTGCACTTCGTCCGAGATAGACTTGTTTGTTCCGGCAGTCCATGGGATATTCAACATTCTTCGCCAACACCATAATTCAAAGGCATCGATTCTTCTTCGGTCTTCCTTATTTATTGTCCAGCTTTCGCATGCATATGAGGTGATGGAAAATACTATGGCTTGGGTCAGGCACACCCAGTCCTCAAAGTGACATCTTTGCTTTTCTACACTTTACAGTGGTCTTTTGCAGCATATTTGCCAAACGCAATACATGTTGTTTGATTTCTTGACTGTCGCTTCCACGGACATTGACGGTGGATCCAAGTAAAATGAAATTCTTGACAACTTCAACATTTTCTCCATTTATCATGATGTTGCTTATTGGTCAGTAAGTGCTTCAAGTTCTCTTCACTTCCAGCAAGCAAGGTTGTGTCATCTGCATATTGTAGGTTGTTAATGAGTCTTCCTTCAATCCTGATGCCATGCTATTCTTCATATAGTCCAGCTTCTCTGACTATGTGCTTAGCATACAGACTGAATAAGTATGTAAAAGGATACAACCCTGACGCACACCTTTCCTGAGTTTAAACCACACAGTATCGTCTCGTTCTGTTCGAATGACTGCCTCTTGGTCTATGTACAGGTTCTTCATGAGCACAATTAAGTGTTCTGGAATCCCCATTCTTCGCAATGTTATCTGTAATTTGCTATGATCCACACAGTCGAATGCCTTTGCATGGTCAGTAAGACACAGCTAAACATCTTTTTGGTACATTACTATTAACTCATCTGCAGTCTTTATTCAGAGTTTACCAGTTTTTCCATAGGGTTTTCGATGGCTCATTTTTTTCAGAATAGATCCAGGCCTTTCTTCTGAGGCACCTCTGGGTGGACTTAAACTTCCAACCTTTCAGTTAGCAGCCGAATGCATTAACTATTTGCACCACCCAGGGACTCCAGCATACGCCATAGGATACTACTGTATTTACACATTTTATTATCCATTTACTCCTAGATGGTATGTAGATCTTTGTTTATCCTGAATCCAGCATGTTGCCTGGAGCCAAGGCAAGAATCCAATCACCCTTGACTAGTCTCGCTTCCAGATGGGAGGACACCTATTTGTTCTAACAGCAGTTTTCATTTTTCATTCTAACTCTGCACACAGCATGCATCACACCAGAGAGCTCTAAAGTCCACAGGGGTGAGGCCACGACTCCAGGAGGGGCTTGAAGGAAGGAAGATCTACAGAGGCTGGTACCCTCACACACCTGTTTCCAGGTTGACATCGGTTACACAAGGGTCTACATAAGAGAACTGAGCTCTCCTTGATTTGGTCTTCAGAGAATTGGTTTGCTATTTTGCCTGAAAGGAATTTCTGGAACTTCCAACACACTTGGTCTCATACTCAAGTGTAAAACACTCTGAGAAGCTATTGGATAACATCGTGATTATTTGCCCTGTTGGGTTTTCCACTGCTTGACCCACCCTCTGTCGGCTGAAAGACAATCTAGAATTGACTCGCGAAGGGCTAAATGGCATCCTATCTAGTGAGCAATGGACAAGAACACCCATGGGTTTCCTTACCACTGTTGTCCAGGGCACTTGGGGAATCCTGGTGTAGGTCATCGTTATGTAGATGATGAGGAAGAATACAGTGAGGACCCAGTAAAATACAGCTACAAACATGACCCAGCCAAATGCAGGGACGCGGAAGTACTCAGTTCCAGCAATAAGTGTCCACACCAGCAGTCCCAGGACCTGTGAAATAGGAGAGGCAGAAGAAAAGGGAGGTGAAGGAGACAATTTAAAAAATTTTTAAAAAAAGGAAGGAAGTTGGGGACAGAGAAAAAAATAATCATACAGAGCGTCAATTACAAATTTCACGCATGCACACACATACACAGAGCCCTGGTGGTGCAGTGGTTAAGAGCTTGGCTGCTAACCAAAAGGTCAGCAGTTTGAATCC